TTCAGATGGCATGACCTAGCCAGGGTTCCATTGTCTCTTAATTCGCTAAATATGTCAACGTCGACGCATATCTAGTACAGCTCATTGTACCATCGGCTGCGGTATCAGCAGAACCTTTCTCTCGAAAACTCAAAAAGGCGACTCACTGTTGTTGTCGTCCACGACTCTGCATCATATCGCAGGACGAGGATTATAAGTAACTGGTAGAGTTTGATCTTTGCCCGTCGAGAGAGGACCTTACTTCTCAACTTCCAATGCAGTTCGCAGTTGGCGCGGTTGTTATGGCCAATTATAATTATATCGATGTCATCGGTGTAAGCTAGCGGTTATATACACTCGCAGGAGATTGTACCTTCTCTATTCAGATCTACAACTATAACTATTTTCTGCAGGAGTAGATTGAAGAAATCACACGATAGGGAATGGCCTTGTCTGAAACCGTGTTTGCTATCTAATGGATCGGAGAGGTTCATCCTGATCCTGACAGAACTTTCGGTATTACTCAACGTCAGCTAACACAGCCTTATTAGTTTTTCGGGGATACCAAATTCAGATAAAGCGGCATGAAGGCAGCTCCTTTTTATGCTGTCAAAAGCAGCTTTTAAATCGGCGAATGGGTAGTGTGTCTATCGTCTTTTCTCCGGGCTCTTCCTTTTTGACGCATGGTGAATATCTGGTCAGTTGTTGATATTCCAGGCCTGAAGCCGCACTGATAAGGTCCAATCAATTCTTTAATTTCACATCGATAGAACCTTATATGCGTTGTTGAGGAGGCTTATCGCACGGTACTTGGCGCTGACTGTGGGATCTCTATTTATGTGGACGTGGCAGAGCACACTTAATGCCAATCGTCGTTCATGTTTTCGTCCGACCATATTGTACAAAGAAGCTGATGCATGCTCCATATCTAAAAGCTCGGCCGGCAACCCATCGGCCCTGTAGAATGGAGCCATGTGTAGAAGCTCACGCAAGTAAGGAAAGTTCTCTCAACGGTATTCACTTGGGAGTATCTAGAGACGATTATTTTACATATGGCTTACGTGGCTCACGACTTCCGACCTTAGATGAAGTGTCATCTTGATAGCCAAAAACGCTTGATACCAAGCTAAAGTGAGAAAGTGAAACATCCTCTCAGGATTGTGCGCTGGATCTGGGACCCGCCACTTAAAAAAAGCACTCCCAATGAAAAGAACAAAACTACCTTGTTAGTGCATAGACACGAGGCAATAAGATTCCTATTCCTATAGATTAAAGACTATTTGGAAAACAGCGGCTGGGAAGTTTTGCTTCACTCGCACATTACCCTTTCTTATTACCATTTCTTTCGATCGATACAGAACGATCTCACTAGAATACAGTTCACATCGGTACATTCCGCCGAGCCGACGCTGTTCTTTTGGAATGGCATCCACAAATTTCGAGAGGGGAATGTACTTGTAGCTGTAAGTCAAGGATCTGGACAAAAGTCAGTGCTAGATTATGCCAAAAAATACAAATTGGCTTGGCTTTTGAGGGAACTAGTCGACTGCGAGACTCATACTAGTTGTAAAGTAGTTTATAACTAGTTGGTTTCACTCCGAGGTATATATGTTCGTAGGGATGTAGCAGAAGCGTATGTACTCACGTTCGCTAATAAGTAGCAATTACACTACGAGCCGCATCGTTAGCGCCAAAACGCAGGCAAAGTTTGTTTAAATAATCTCAAGTGAAAAGTATTTGCACAACTAACTTTAACATAAACTTTCAACGATCTGCATATTATCATGCGCTCAGCAGTTATTTCAGCACATCTCCATAAACACAAACAAACAACCATAAGTGGATACATGCACATGCACATACCTACATATAATAAATGGGTGCAAACCAGCCGCCAGCAACGTGCCACCCACCAACCGCCTCGAGGTAACGTAACATGCACAGTTCACACAACTTTCGTGGCAATTTGTTAATAAATACCCAGCAAACAAACACACACCACATAATGATTGTTGTTGATGTTGCTTGCGATTTTTGCAAAGCTACTTGGCTATTACTACTATGAGGGTAATGCTGCAGATGAATCTCAGATACGAACAAATGAGCTGTTTGCCACAATGCCTCCGCATGTATTTGTTGTTTAAGTACGACTATTGCTACTGCAAATTTAATAGCAGAATACCGGCGAGTTGCAAAAATGCGCCGGCGCTGCGCTGCATAAGTAGCGCCGCAGTACATACAAGCGTATGCAACGTGCCACACGCCACATATGTTACCGCAAATAACTTCGGTGGCAGTGTCTTCAATAGCACTCCATGCGCCCATCGCTCGACGGATATTTTAATGCCGTTGCATTCATTTAAATTCAGTAGCTTCATTTGTTGCAGCCAACAGCAACAGTAGCATTTGCAACAATGAGCACCAGAACACAAACAACAACTGGGCGCGTTGCCACCTTGTTGGCAGTGGCAGCGAAAATTTGCGCACATTTTCAGTTAACAAATTGAATTCATTATTCCAAGCTGGCCCGCGGCCAAAAGCTGCTTAGGAGCATCAACAGCGCACGAGTCTTACTTACCAGGTACTGCTTAGTCCAACCTGCAGGCGTTGCACGGACATGCTTTCTAATTCTGTCAGCTTCCTACCTATGTTTGGTTAGCTCTTACACCTAAGCTGCATTTACCCACACACATATATACAAACTTACATCTATAAATGCATACCTGCGCGTATAATTTTATGTTAATTGAATTAATTATTAATGAGCGCGCATCTTTGGTCTTGGTCGCGGTTTCAGTTACTAAATCTGATTTCGTTATATTACTGCGGTTGTGCGGACTACAAAAACCGGAAAGCTTTCTAAATTACTTTGCATACCCGTTGCGTTTTTTGTGCGGAGTCACGGAGTACGTCCAGATACTGCTGAGTTAAGGAGGAAACTGTTTCATTGTAATGAACTGAAAAGTACCCCTCAAAAAAAAAAAAACATAGAGTTTAATATAATAGAAGAAGAAGAAGAAGATTTATTTAAAGAAATATTTAATTTTCCTATTAAAGCTGGAGATGAGTGGTCATGAAACATCCCCAAATGTGTTGAGGCTGATCGACTTCGTCGGCGTCCGAAATATGGTTATCTGTGGTACTAGATCCCAGCATAGGATTCTACAAGCTGCCTGGCTGTCTCCGGATCGAAAAACCACCAACCAGATCGAACATGTTGTGATAGACGACAGAACGTCTCCAGTGTTTTAGACATGCGTACGCCCCAAGTTCTTAACGTTGACTCGGACCATTATCTTGTTGCAGTGAAAAAAACGCATGTCAACAAAGACAAGGAAGGTTCGACGTCGAGAAACTGCAATCACGATTCTCTGCTCAACTTTTAATCCTTATCACTGAAAGCACTCATCAGCAACTTGAAACAAAGGAACTCTGGGATGGCATTTCAAGCTTACTTGATAGCACTGAAAGCATAACAGCTGGGATATGATGAATCCGATTCTCTAAACGATGACGATGGAACAGACGTTCCATTGCCCGAACATGAAAAATTTGGAATAGCAATTACTCGTCTGAAGAACAACAAAGCGGTGGAGGCCGATCGATTGCCGGCCAAGCTACTCCAATACGGCGAAGAAAAACTGATACGGGGCATACATCAGCGTCTTTGTAGAATATAGTCGGACGATAGCAAGCCCACCGTCAACAAACTGACGTTATCAGTGTGACTTCAGACCTGAAAAATCAACAACTCACTAGATATTTACCATGCCCCAAATCTCAGACTCGTGAAAAGAGAATCAACACACACCACCTCTTCGTCGATTTCAAAGCTTCTTTTGACAGTGACATGTTTCTTTGCGCATCTGCAACGGCGCATACCGCAATCGATGGAACAATGAGCTGTACGAGATTTACAACGGTATTTACATATGAAATTCAGCGATTTAAGAGATGACTAGGTCATGTCGTCCGAATGAATGAAAACACTCCATCTCTGAGAGTATTCGATGAAATACCCGCCGAGTTAAGCAGAGGCAGAGGAAGATCTCCACTCTGTTAGAAAAAACAGTTGAGCTTGCTAATTGTGCACTGAAAACTAATTAAGGAATGTCTGTACTCTCCACAAATAGCATTAAGATACTTCATCAACAGACTCGCTTGGATACCTGGTCATAGCGAAATCGCTGGTAACTGCAAAGCTAGAGAGTCACATCAGAATGGGAGCGTTACATAAATGAGGTTGAACAATATCGCAGCCCAACTACAGTCGCCTTAACTTTGCCAACCGACTGTTGTATTTTTCCACGCCTTCGGGCGGGTTTATCGTATGCAGTCCACTCGGATGACTATTGATTGAACTCCGGAGTGAAATTATGGAGCCATATTTCACCTATTGTCACATATCGACGACAAAAAGTAGTAATTTTTGGTCAAAAGTGCTCTCGCTCATAACCCACTTTGCACAGAGATTTCTAATACCCAAATGTTCGTGAATTAATGATGTGAGACGTTCCTTACAGTGCCTGCTATCTGGAAAAACTTGTTTTGATGTTTTTCCCGGTAACAACCTCTTATGGGCGTCCATTGCGTTCAGTGGCTCCGATGCTCATTTCAGCACGTCTGAACTTAGCAATACATATTTTATGAACACGCGAAATTGCTTTTTATCAATTATACAATTAGCACTCAAATTGATACGGATATATGTACTTCACAAACTAATGATCCGACAGCTATCAAATTTTTACACGCGCCTTTCTTTCTGTTGTTTCTTGCGTTGTCAGCTATTTCAGCTGTTTTCGAAAAAGCAGAACTTTTACACACCTACCTATTTAGTTAGGATACGTGAATGTAACATAACCACAGATATTTGATTGGATTCACTTATGAAGCCAACTTTCTCGAACCTTGCTATAATAGAGTCTGTAAGCTCTTCATTATTCTCAACAAGTTATCTGTAGTTATTAATAATTTATTCAGACAAAATACCTTTGCGATAATACAGTTAGAATGATTTCTCACGGCAAAATAATTAAATCTCTCTTTGCTTTCTGCTTTTTAGTTTTGCGTTCAGAAGCCATTTCACTTTTAAAAGCCAAAAACAATTGACGACAGATAAAGTATAGCACCTCACAAATACCAACCAATGAGAAGCCCGTTATAATGCTCACAATGTTGCCAATAAAACCTGCAGAGAATATTAGTACAAAAATTAATTAAAACAGTAGTTAATGTTTCTGAAGAAATACACAAACTCACTCAGTACTTCAAACCAAGTGTCCTTTAGTACACGTCTAAAAATCGGAATATGCGAGACGCCGAAATAAATATGGGTCAAAGCAAAGTTCGATAGATTTTCCGCGGGTATATCTCTGCAATTGAACAAAATATACATTTAATTTATATATGTATGTATACTTTGTCGGGGTTTAAATATATATTATTAAAGTCAGAAACCTAATTTAGTTACCTGAT